GTTTATCAAAACCCTTCAAGCATCTTTGTATATGAATAGCTGGAGGACACCCCTCTGTGGGTGAGAAACTAGTTCCCCAGCTTAAGAGATCCAGATGATTGTCTTAGGCGCCGCAGTATTGTTATGAGACTTGTAGCTAAGCTACCCATCATATGGGAACTCCTTATGGACAAAATAAATAACAGAAAATAAAAAACATAGGTCCACACAGCATCATCCACTCCTCTAATACAGGCCTGTATAGGTATAATGTAAGCACCTATACTTTGCTGAAAAACATTCACTTTCTCCATTCTGTGTCACCGTGACTGCATAACATGCTGATGTAATCTAGACATTTAGCTGATAACCTTCAGTCCCCGGAGACTGTGTGCTGTCTGAGCATGACAGAGAGGAAACAGCACCCACAATAAAGCCTCTGTCAACCAGAGTGACTCAGTTGTGCTGTTGCGATATGCACCAATCAGCCCCACACATGTATACAGTAGAAACAGATTTAACGATAGACAAACACACAGTAAAGAAATACATGCAGATGAGCACACACACACTTGCCTACCTGCAAGCCTCAGCAGTACTTTACCTTACATTTGAGTTGGACGCACACAAGCACGCACGCACGCACGCATGCACACACGCACACACGCACACACACACACACACACACACACACACACACTCACACACACACACACACACACACACACACACACACACACACACACACACACACACACACACACACAAACACACATCCACAGATAGAAAAAGAGATGAGCAATTCAGGTGATCGTCCCCATACACACTCACACACTGATTCCTTTGTAAGGTTCTTTGCAGTTTTATTAGACTTTGCTCATAGTCATTACACGAGTACGTACCAAAAGAACAGATACTAGATGGAGCGAGGCGGCAGTGCCACAGCAATAAAAACAGACCCAGCTCCGTGGCACAGCCCCTGGCAGACCGGCTGCCCAGCCTACACTCCACCTCACTCTGTGTATGAGACAGCAAAGTGAGCGGGACTTGCAGCCCTCATTTCAGATGCTTCAGATTGTACATTGAACAGGAGATTCCCCACATGGTAGAGTAAGCTTGTCTACATAGCCCTACGCCTTCTACATTCTATACCCGTGCGAATGGCAAATCAAAACTCAACAAGTCTACCTCACAAATGCCAGTGCTTTTCAACATTATACATATTTTTTTCCAATTTTTGGTTTGTTTTAAAAATCTTTGGATGTGCAGTAATACCCATAAAATAACAGTTTTTAAAAAGTCAAAAGAATAGAAAAAACACGCACACACACAAACACACACACACACACACACGCACACACGTACACACTGCTTTTTGCCAGCTGTTCAACAAAGTAGCTCCTGTATAACTTTGTCTGCATTGGCAAATCAACTGTCTGGGTTTCTGGCAGTGTTTAAAACACACATTGAAATGCCGGCTAGGATTTAGCTGAAGAAGAATACAAACTACTCCTTTGTTATATCTAAGCGTGGGAAATAAGGCTGTAACATAAAACTGTCCTTTTTGTTTGTTTTTTTTTTTCCAAAAACCTACTATATACAAATCTAGAATTTCTACAAATGCATAAATTAAAGCAGTGGTTAACCAATACAAAAATGCAATTAAATTAAAATCACAACACAGAAGTAGAGAAAAGGGAAAATATGAACACAATATCACAGCAGTTGGTTTTACCCTGTAAAAGCAATAGTCTACCATCATAATATTGGCATAACCCAATGTCTGATAAAAAATACGCTTCTCCCTCCATCCCTTAAGTTTCATACATCAACCCTGAAACTTGTCGTCCGTGACTTGAAACAGAGCACTTCTGCCAAGAAAAAAAGAAAAGAAAAAACAAACTTCAAAATAGATAATCATACAGCTTTTTGAAGTAACAATAACAATTACCACACGAGTGGAGTTCTGCCTTACTCACAGATAGACGTCTCAATGCAGAACTCAAAGGAATTATTACTATGAGGTATTCAGAGACATTGGTAAAGACATGCACGGCCAGAGTGCTGGACCTTCCTACACACAGCAGAGAGACAAGGAAGGTTGGGGGAAGGAGGGGCGGAGGGGTAAAAGAGGGGCAGGGGAGAGGAGAAACAAAGACCTTTGGTTTAATCTGTAGAAGTGGACAACAGAAATTCCTTTGGTATGTTTTCATTGCATGGTTGCGCTGGCGAAAGCACCACGGTGTGATTTAAAAAAAAAAAAAAAAAAAGAAAGAAAGAAAGAAAGAAAACCTTTTCCTTGTTTCTTCAGTAGTGGCCCTTCTACAGGCTGAGGTATTCACAGAGTCAAAGGTGAGAGGTCAACAGCGGTTTAACACTTTGGTTCAAGCAAGGCACTCGTCCTGGGAGTTTTAGAAAGATTGCAACATGTCTGCTTCTACTTTCAGGAACATGTCTGCCTATAGTTGAGTCAACAATTCTGCCCATGGCTATATCAGCTTGTCTGCCTACTGTCATGTGAAGATGTCTGAGCTATTTGTTGGATCAATAGTATCAACCTATAGATACACACTCAGAGGCAGAGGCCAAGTGGGAATTAAGCTCCAAAAGAAAAATGGCACTCCAGCGGGGTACTATCAAATTCACAGAGTATTTTGAAATCATTCATGAACTGAACTTAAACTCCAATTTGATATATTTATTGGTTTGTCACAATGTCAGCTTTTACATTTTAACTGTCTTTGCTGCCAACAAAGTGGTAGACGTGAATGCTTTTCTGTGGTTAACAAGCAACACAGAGACTGATTACATTGCTTGCATGTTGGCTGTACCCCGCAGGCACCAGCCTAGCCTGCTGTCGTGTGTATCTATGGCTAGATCAGCATATCTGCCTATAGCTACATCAGCATGACTATCTATGAAGCTGTAATCAGAGCACAGATGAAGCAAGAGCACGCATAGCAGGGGTGCATGGGTTGAGTGCAGGTGGGAAGGGGAGGGGTGGGGGTGGGGTGGGGGGCATACAACATCCTTTAACACCACTCATAGAGGCCGTGCAATGAGAAAAAATCTTTGGTTATCTTTGGTATCATCAAAGTGATAGAAATCACGTATGGATCTTGAGTGAGGTAGCATCTTTGGTTCACACTATAAAACATCATCAGGTCTTGACACGTTTTTTTTTTTTTGTTTCTTGTCATCTTTTTTTTTGGTTTTTCTCTCGGAGATGAAGAAGCGGCTCTCTCTCTCGCCTCTCCTTCAGCGCTTGATCTGATGAATGTAGAGCTGCTAACCCTGGCCATGAGGAGGATGATGGCAAGGGGCCAGCTTAATATATCTAATGCTACGCTGCCCTGGGCCAGCCCTGTGTAGTGCTTTCCTCCTAGTGCTGAAATGCATAGCTTACCAGGAGAGCAGACGCAGGGGAAGGGGGTGGGGGGGTCCAGGGATTGGAAACAGGCAGGGATGGGGTGCTTTCGTATTCAGGTGAAGAGCTGACATTGCTGTGTAAGCGCCTGAAATTGATTTGATCACTGATATCATCCCCTCCACCCAACATCACTGATGAGGAGATAAAATCAAATACGTATGAAGTGCACGGGGGATGACGGGGGAGAGTTGCTGAATGTTTCTTATTAGAGTGGTGACACAGTTTGTCCTCAAAAAAGAAAAAAATACAACCCATCAGAGGCCATCTGTCTACCTCACAGTGTCAAGTCCACACACAGAGCCAGCAGTTTGTGTTTTCACCTTTGCAGAGAAAACGTACTACAGGATGGATTTTTCTTGGGTTTGCCAGCTGCTGGCATTTCCACGTATAAACTAAGAGCTAAACCTGTAGAAACACTTCCAGGAAAGGTTGTGTCTGTAATGATTAATCTTCACAAACAGCATTTACAGTAACATTCACAGAGACTGATTGTGAAGATAAAGCTGGAATCTTTCGTTTGATTCAAAAAGGCATCTATAAGGCAAATGTCAACAGGGTAATTTTCAGGGTTATGTTATATATTATGTCCATTTATAGGGGACATAAATTTAAGTATGACTCAAAATGTTGGATGGACCATGAGCAGTAACATTCTCTTCTTTGTGGCGCCTAACTAACAGTCTGTCGTAGGAGGTAAGGGAGGAAATGAGGTAAAAATACTCTCAAGATTATCAACTACAAAATATACTCTTTGGTCAAATTACTTCATGGCATGTTAAGTGGTTTTGTTTCTAAGCTGCATGAGAGGCTTCGGTGTGTAGAAGGCTTTGGTTTCTCATCTTTAAATTATTCAATGCTTCAGCATGTTGGAAGAAAGCACTACCATGTGGGTTGAGGTTAGGGGGTCTTGGTTTGGTTTAGGGTTTGGGATTTTGGTTTCTGGGTTAGCAGTCTACGAATGGACATTCCCCTGTCTGTCTGGAATGCTTGATAGAAAGACAGACAGCTGGACAGACAGACAGACAGACAGACAGACAGTCCACCGCCACCGATCCAAACGAGGTTGCACAACAATCCAGTCGCTCCTGTAGGATTATTTTTTCTTTAAAAGTTGATTGGCCAATCCCATCGGAGCTCCACATTCTGGCTGTTTTTCAAAGGTGTGGACAGCTGCAGATCAGACTGCCAACAGGCTGATTAAACCTCCATTTAGGGACCCATCATTAAAACCAACCAATCAGATTAAAGATAAGGATGGTGAATGACAGATTGATACTGGGTGGGGAGGTGAGGAGGGTATAGTAAAGCTAGAGACCAGTGACATTGTGTGTGTGAAGGGGGGTAAAATTATAGTCTTTTTGCAGTATGTTACACATAAATGTGTTGCTGAAACAAACATTTCAAAGCAGGTCAAACAAGAAGTCTTTGGTTTGTTTTTTCATCTTTGGATACTATAAATATCAATATAGTACAGGTTTAAGGGCAAAACGTTGCTTCAAGGTCTTTTTAAGTTTCTCTTTGTTTCTCTTAAGTTTTAAAGCTTTTCCACCGAGGTTGAGTCAGTCCATGAGTTGGTCATATCAGTCCATCTTCAGGCTTTGGTGCAGGCGTTAGGGCCAGAGTTGGCTGAGTGACCGGAGCCGTCGTCCACCCACTTATCTAGGCTCCGGCGGCGTGCGTTCATAAAGAAGTTGCTGACTGTGGCCAGCTCCAGGCCCAGCTGTTGGGCAATGGTGAGCTGCAGCTCTTTGGATGGACGCTTGTTCTCCTTGAAGATGGCGTGGAGCGTCCGCCGCTGCACATCTGTGAACACCAGCCGGGGCTTCTTGGTCACGTTCCCTCGCTCGCTTCTGCCGTGGTCCTGTTCCTTGCGCTTACACGCTGTGGAGAATCCAGGACAGAGACAAAGAAAGAGAGAGGGTTTGTGTGTGAGAGAGACAGCAGAATATGGTTGTGTAAAAACAAGAATTATGACAGCAAAACTGGTATCAGGATCTTCTCAAAGTCCTGCATTAATCCACTGCATGAACTGACCCATGAATGATCCATGAGTGATTCTTGTCCATATCACATGAGCCTGGAAGTCTACCTGTTTTCATTCTATTCTGTGGTTATTATAAGTCAATACTGATATCTGACCATTAAGACCAAAGTTAACTCACAACTGCAGGTGCAGAACAAATACATTTTTCAAGTTCTTTTCCTAGAGGCTTACCTAAAGACAACTGAGTGTTTTTTCACTCTTAAAACAAAAATACTTTCGCTTCTATTGCTATTTTGAGATTTGCATCAAGTGACACTTTCCTAGCCCTGATGGTAATTCCACAATCCTCCAAATGTCAGCAGTAAAAGTCTGTCTGACCGATACCAGTAATGTTTTCATGTTTGTCAAGAACCAATATGGAAACAGACATTGATCATTTTTCTTGCAGGTTTACCCTCAGGAAAGACAATGTTTTTAGGTTCTGTCTTCCTTCTTTCCTTTTTAGACTAAATTAAGTTACTATTGGCTGACACTGATGATATGCCTATAACGTATCTCTGCATCCCAAAAAAGGCAAATCTAACCTCCCCTCAGTTGATCCCGTTGTTATTTGATTCCCTCGTTCTCCCTACACAGCCATCCAAGCTGAGGCTCATCAGTGAGCAGAGACCAGGAGGGGGCAGGCGCGCGCTGCTGGAGCAAGGCCCAGTGCGGACTCTCAGGGGGAAATAATGAACGGCATATCCTAACCACAAAGCAATACTTAAACCAGCACTGGTTAATTTTACAAGATACTACGGGTGAATAAAAACTTTTCATGACAGAAAACCTCAACTCATGTACAAAGGAAACTAGTTAAATAAACCAATCAAATCCACACAGAACTTAGAACACAATTTGGAGAAAAATGACCTAGAGCCAATAAAAATGACTTTATCTATATCACATATATCACAGAGGGGATTTTTATGAAGTCAGTGCCTTTAAAGTGGCTTACTTCTTCACGTTACTATAGTATTCCTGGTCCATTTCTGGTCTTTAATTTTAATGTAATATCTGTGTCATTGCCTTTCAAATGTAGCTTGATTACTGAGAAATTACAATAAACATAATTAGGCTATTAAATCAAATTATTTTTGTCGACCCCACTCCAGAACCTCATTTTCGCACACACTCTCTCGGCCTGCTAAAGTAGTAGCTACAGTGCAGCCGCCTATCCGCACAACCATAAACCTGAGTGTGATTGTGAGTATGAGCAGCCCGGTGTCTCCAGTGCTGGTAAATATTAACAGAGAGCCGGAGCTCCTCATGTAAGGGCTGCTATAAATCAGTATAGGAGTGAAGGCCACTCAGACAGCAGGAGCCACCACAGAGCGGCCGTGCCCCGGCACACGAGGCCCGGGCAAAGAGGCAGCTTTTCCCAGGACCAGGGGGGGCATAACAACGGCCTCGTTATCAGGTTAATCACACACACACACACACACACACACACACACACACACACACACACACACACACACACACACACACACACACACACACACACACACTGCTGCTGCTCCCAGCTAATCATTACAAACACACAGATAACTCCACACACTCAAAAACACTGCACACACTGGGCCTACTGACGACGATAGTCCTGCGTTTCATAACCTCACAAAGGGCACGAGAGAACAACAAACAGACCTCTGTGCCCGATGTATTGTGAGCAGATGAGTGTTATACATATTCACTCCCTTCAGTTTCTGAAAAACCAAGAAAGAAACGAACACTGAAAATAGTTGCAATTACACCTGATTAACTGAATGAATTTATTCTGTCTTGTTTCAAATAGGTCCAATACCTGGCTATTTCCAAACCTATTCTATTCTATTCTATTCTATTCTATTCTATTCTATTCTATTCTATTCTATTCTATTTGATTCTATTCTATTCCATTCAAACAAATTCGGATAGGTAATTGAATACGTGGGAAAATGAGAAGAGGCCCAAGATTAATTTCAGATGCCTGAGATCAATAAGTGTATCACATCTACTTCAGCACACGATCACATCTAGTTCACATAGGAACGAACGGATCAATAAAATGGCGCTCAGCCTATTCTCTTCAAATTAATTTAGTGTTTAAATGTAATTTTTTACTTGTCTCCCAACTTATTTTTGGACTATTTAAGAAAACCTATTATTTTATATTTACATTTTTTTGCAAAAGAGAGACTTTGTAATTTTTTATTTAGGCCTATAAGTTTTTTCTCTTGTAAAAGATGGAAGTAAAACGAAACAGTGCAACATGTTCAAGAAAATGTGCTAAGGAAAAAGCAGGCCTCCCTTCTTTCTTAAAAAAAAATCATCATCAGCACTAATTAATAGGCAAATGGTCTGATTTTTGTTTTAATTATATGCTCATCACACTAATGATCAAATGATGACCAAATACAAACCCAGGTTTTAAAAGTTAAATTAGTTTTTTTTTTTTTTTTACCATTTGCAAAAGTCAGAGATACAATCTCACCTTCAGCCAACACACACCCACACACACTCACAACAGCAGCAGCAGCAGCAGATGGGAAAACTGAAAAATAATCAATTGCGATTATACTCACTCACGAGCATGCACGCACAGACACACAAACGCAATTGCACGCACTTTCCAAGATGCAGCCGCAGCCTCACTTTTCAAAAAAGCCAAAAAGAAAAAAGAAAACTCCAATTTGTAGGTCATTGATTAGGCCTACAAACGTTAAAAACATCCACTGTGGGTGTGTGTGAACGTGCACGTGCGATTTGGGCCTTATTGCGCGCCCTAATTGACTCATGCGTACCTAAGGGACAAATTAATAGAGGATTATCAGTTAATTTGAAGTCAGGGTTAGTTTACGACCAAAAACATAAACACATGCTCTCCATTCTATTCTATTCTATTCTATTTTATTCTATTCTATTCTACTGAGAACTGGCCTGTATTTTTTTTAATTTTTTTTTTATCAAAGTCAGAGGCCGTTTTACCAACTAAATAACGCCTGACTCCAGCTTCATTTAACATTTAAATTAAGTTTAGACCAGACTCTCCAGAGCACGTGCACACACACACACACGTCTTACTCTCTGTGTGTTTACACCAAGGGCAACAGCAGAGAGGCTGATCAGCTGCATCTTCACCAAAATAAACACATTCCTAACGATTTCTGGGCGAAGGATCAGCTTACGCACACACAGTCCAGCGGTCGATACTTTGAGGTAAAATGACATGAGCACTTGTTTCACACAAGCCCCAAAATCAGTGTAGAAACAGAATAGGGATGCGTATTGATATCAGGCCACTCTTTTGATCAGCATGGTGAAGCACTTTTCAACTTCACATATTGTTTAACAATAACAATGTTGAATATGACCTCCCCACCAGACTTAAATCTATCATTTGGAGTCTCTATCCAAAGAAACCAGGGTTCATCAAACCCTGAGGGATGGCCTGGTTCCTCGCTGCATCTAATATCATTTGACTCCCAGCTTCTTGTAAAAAGATTTAAGACGAATGGAGACATTTCCTTGTATGTTGTTTTGATAAAGAACTATCAGGCTAGAGGGGACATCTGCCCTGAATGCTACCCAGATGTGATTTCACATGGTTTACACTTGAATTGCTGTACAAAGGTTTGTGATAAAAACTGCAAGCTCAGGTTTGATTCCCAGCCCACTTGAACCCATTGCTCAGTGTAAGGCAGCATTCAGGGCCAGTGATCCTCTTTTAGCGCCTCTTTTTGAGCGTCTGTTTTTCTCAGCCACACATTCAGAAGATGAAAGCAAAAAAGGGGCTTTACCGAGGCTTCGCTCACCTGCGAGCCTGAGCGCACTCATGCGTTGGAACTCAGGCTCCTGCAGCCACTTCCACATGCGGCGGAAGGTCTCTCTTCCGGACTTGAGCTTGGACCAGGGTTTGGGGTTTCTCAGCAGGTCGGACAGGGTCCCCTGGGACCTGCACAGGACCCGCTGGGCAAAGATGGCCTGAGGGATGCTGTAGCGCTTTAGCTCCGTGGTGATCCTCTGCGCCACCTCTTTGGTATTCACCTCCTCCATCTGTCCACCAGAAACACCACCCCCTCCACCGCCGCCCCCTTGCTGCCCGGGCCCAGAGGCCTGCTCCCGGCCGTTCCCCAGACCCTGGCCGTGCCCCTGCGCGCCAAGGTGGGCGTGCGGGTGGTGGTGGAGGCCGTTGATTTGTACCATGCCCGCTGAGGAGCTCATGTGCTGCTCCGTGTGTCTGCCCAGCATGGCCGGGTGGTGAGCCTCAAACCCGCTGGGGGTGAGCATCTTCTCACCAGGCATGGCGGCACCGGGATGAGCGTAGGGAGGGATGCCGGCCTGGGACGTGTGTATGCTGGCCAGACCGGAACCAGACAACGGGGACAGGCTCTGGCCCATGCAGGGATCCTTGTGATGATATGCGGGATACAGACTGTTCATAGGCGCCAGACTCCGGTCCTCTCGCATCAATGTGAAGCTGCCGCTGACGTTTCCGGGGATCCTCTGGTGGGGATGCGGGTGAGGATGATGGGGATGGTGGTGGTGGTGATGATGAGGAGGAGGAAACTTGTCAGACACGGTGGAGATGGGGGGTAAGGGCTGCAGAGGGGTTAGGGTGGTGTAAGTGCTGCTCGCACTCATGCCAGGGGGGGCTTCACACATGCTGATGGCGGGATGTAGGTGTCCGGGGTGGCTGGGGTGATAGTCTCCGCTGTCCAGCAGGGTCGCCATGCCCATAGCGCGGTGGCTGAGACCCCTGGGGCTCGGACGGGAATGCGGACTGTGGCCACTCAGCAGCTCTCCGTGACCGGCCACAGACTCATGGCTCACTCCGTGCAGGTCGCCAATATTCTCCATCGACAGCTGTGCGTTCATGATCCGGGCAGCGCTGTGGACCAACCATCTATCTGACCTACCGGAGTTAGCTGATGTCCAGAAGTCCTCACGTCCAGTAAAGTTCAATTTTCTTTTGTTGTTTTTCTTCTTCTTGCAGCAGCCTCCTTTGCTATTGCCTCTTCTCTGTCCTTATATTCACCTATTTGATTATTCTCCTACCTCTGATGCTGTTTTGCAGAATGGAAACGTCTTATCCGAATCCCCGTTTTTTTCTGATATTTTTTATTTATTTTTTTTTATTTTTCTGATTCTCTTTATAATTCAAGCCCCCCCACCGCCAACCAGCTGTCCTTGCGCTCCGGTCGGGTGCCGCGCCATCTCTCTAGTTGTGTGTCTCCAGCCCTCTTCCACCGCAGCACAGATCACTGTCCACACATGCGCACTGCGGTCACCCATCTCCTCCCATACTCTCTCTCTCTCTTTCTCTCTCTCTCTCGAACACACACGCGCGCACACACCGCCCCCTTGTTCTGACGTCAGCTACCTTATTAAGGAAGGGAGGTATCAAACCACCTGCTAAAAGCTGTTCTCCCCGATAACCCATATTCAGCAGCCTGTAGCCTTCAGTGAGATGTTAAAAACGTCTGTAAACACATGAATCTCTAATAAAAATCCTACCACAGTCGACCCATGGAAATGAACTGCACACAGCGGCCAAAGTTTTACAGTTAGGCTAATTGTTATTTAGAAAATGTTAAATCCATTAGGGCTATAATGAGCCTTCAGCTTCAAGTCCTCCTTAAATGATTAAGTGCAAATGAAGTAAACTTCCGGGTTCATTTGGAGTTGATTTTTAACTTGTGAAGTCTGGGATTCAAAACCTCCAAACCTCCAATGAAAACACACCCGATTCTTCACAAAAACGCAGAATAAAGGAGACTTCAGGAGTTGCATCAAAGAGCGCTGATTTAATTTGTTCATAGGTATATCTTATGTATTCATATACATCACATAGATCCAATTGTTTCATTATTAGGCTACTTCAGCTGTAGCACCCCCACCCCCACGCCCCTGCCAAATATGTGGCGGTTTAACCAAACGAAGAAGACTGTCGTACCTTCTCTTTTGATAGAAAAAGATGAGCAGATGTGTCTATTGTTCAACCATTAGGCTTAACGAACCAAGCCCAGCAGTGTGTGTGTGTGTGTGTGTGTGTGTGTGTGTGTGTGCTTGTGTTGTCCTATTTGGAGATGGACACATGCACATTTAGCCCACTAATCCTGAAGTTTTGGAATCATTTAGGTTAAGTATACAAATGTGAACACACACTTTGGTATCAAAAAAAGAAAGAAAAAGAAAATGCAGACACGTGATTTATTTAAAATGCAATTTTATTTTTGTTGACAAAAATGTCCAAATAACACAAAATTCACATCAAATACATTCATAGCATCTCTATAAAAAAAAACCCAAGGCCATGCAGGAAATGGCATGCTGACACATAACATGACTGGTTCCCCCGTGTTGCTGCAGTGCATTATGCTGCGTGAGTCTCAACCCCCCCCCCCCCCCCCCCCCCCCCTCCCCCCCCCCCCCCCCCCCCCCCCCCCCCCCCCCCCCGCTCCCCCCCCCCCCCCCCCCCCCCCCCTGCGCCCCCCCCCCCCCCCCCCCCCCCCCCCCCCCCCCCCCCCCCCCCCCCCCCCCCCGGCGCCCCCCCCCCCCCCCCCACCCCCCCCCCCCCCCCCCCCCCCCCCCCCCGCCCCCCCCCCCCCCCCCCCCCCCCCCCCCCCCCCCCCCCCCCCAAAACCTGCAGTTTCATACAAGCCGAACTCCTACTTACATGTCAGGGGCCGTTTAGCCTAATAGAGCGGTAGCGCAGGGCGTCCTCAGCCGGCAGAGGTGACAGCTTGCAGCGGTCAGTGTCCTGCTGGACCCCCTGCTGAATGAGGGACATGTCAAAGGTGACGCTTCAAGACTCCCAAAGCCAACATCTGCGGGGGGACAGATTAACCTTTCAGACTTTTCCCTGTCCTGGACCTGCTATGGGGGCCCCGCATCTGTCAAGGCACCCCACAATAGACCCAACGCTCGGCTGAACGAGTTAAAGAAAAGAAAAGAAGAAAAAAAAAAAAAAAAAAAGAGAGAGAGAGAGAGAGAGAGAGAGAGAGAGAGAGAGAGAGAGAGAGAGAGAAGTTAAACTGTCTCTAATGTGAAGTCAATGTCAACAGCGTGTGTGTGACGTGTGTCGAGACAAAAGGACACTAATTCCTCGAAGTGTGGCTGTCCAACCGTGTAGTGCTGTGGACATAATAGACTATAGAGGCAACAGGGCTGACAACAGGGAAACAAAAACACTGTGAATATAATTAATTTTGAAACAAGATTATCAAGCACTGGGATACCCTTTAATTTCATCATTTTTTTGATCTTATAATCAAACTATAAAGTGCATTAAGTTTGACCTTATTTTTTAAAATCAAATCTTTTATTTTTGCAGCGTAGGCCAGTTTATGCTTTTATTTTGTTGCACACTCGCACAGAGACACAAAGACAAACGGGATGTAGAAAGACAGAGGAATATGAAAAGCCAAGGTTTGGCCTTACATGGCAGCAAACCTCATCTACACATTCTCATACGGATCGATAGGCTCCTGCCATGTCTGCACGACCTGAGCTGCGTGTTTATGTGTGCTGGCTTTCTGTGGCCATTGTGCGGAGACAGACCTGGCCCTACGAGCCGGTGACATTTGCTTTGCAGAGAATATAAGGGACACGGTTTTCTGAGCACTTCTGAAAGGGGATACATTTCAAGCGGAATTCAATTCAATTAGTACAAAAGAAACAGAGGGACTAACCAACAAGTAGCTCCTAGCAGATCCATACACGTGCGGACATAGATATGCAGAGTTTGGAGAAATAGTCCACATTCTTTCCTTTTCATACCCCAGCCCTATAAAAAAAAAAGGTAGTTCTACGTGCCAGAGCAAAGTGGGGCCAGGCGATGGGCACCTGAGGGCTCTGTGTCAATTACTTACAGGTTTCACACTTATTATTTATCAGGGGCATCGTTCCCGTGAAGCCCACCGCAGCACATCCGAGCAGAAACAATATAATGCCTCTCAGAGAGGACCGTGGATCAATATTTCTGCAGCTCTGCAAAGTGACACAGCGTTGCAAGCGTTATAGATGTTGAAAATGACAATTACATCTTGTTTAAGAATAAGCCTGTGCTAAATGGCATCTGGTGAAACTAAACTTTTATAAATGAGGCTGCTTGAGTTTGGCCTATATGGTCGTTTATGGCGGGTATGATATAAGGGCGCATACATGGGGAAATTGAATTAGCCTTTTGAAAATAAATCATATTGCTCTTGTTTTATCCTTTTGCACCAGTAAACTAATTTACTGGTTCACCTTTTAACTCCAGAGTCCCATAAATATCGTTGCCCCGCAAATATATGGTATGATTTATCCTCAAATCCTCCACAAAGTAAAAGATTATTGGAAAGAAACACAGATATGTTAAACGTTACAATATTTGAGATGATGAAATGATTCCTTTCTGCGCTCTTTAAGAATAAAAAAAGAAGTGCATTGCAGTGTTAGTGAATGGTCTTTACAGCATATTTGATGTAGGCTATAGGCCTTGAAAACACACCACTCCACACCGCGCCAATCAATACTGAATACAATTATAATTCCTGAAAGAAATCAGGCTCAGGCCTTTGATTCCTTAGAATAAACTAACCTAAAAATATACGATTTTCAAATAGACTACTTATATGTACATATATATCTTACAAATTCTTTTTTATTTAAATAAGGTGGTTATTTCATTTAACAACATAGTTATTTCTTTAAGGAAAACACACAAATTTACTTATACAAATTAAAATAGTATCAAAGTTGTACATGAGGCGTTGTTCTAATGTGTCTTACTTTATTTTAAGCAAATAAAAAATAGAAATAAAATAACATAAATTCAAAATTATTATTTCGACCTCACTGACAGCCAGTTAGCAGATGACAAGCCAAGATTGCATTAGGAGCTAAAGAGAGATCATCTCCTTTTTAAGCTTCTAATCCCGTATTAGAGCATTTGAGAAGAATCGGTCTCAGTAAAGTTTTCTCAGTAAAATCATCAATGAATAACCAAACAGGAACGAATAAACCTCAGGGTTACATTTATAAAAACGATTTGAATTTTATTCCCCTTGATCAAGGAATTTTACTTTTAATTTTTTTTCCATAATTAATAAAAATGCCATCATGGCCGAGCAGCAGATGCCGGACCTGCTGCCTTGCTCAGGGGTAAATCAACTGCCTCTTCCCTTGTGTTATTCCGCGTCACTTGCTCTGATTCGCGCACTCATGTGAAATTAATAAGGCATCACTTTACATTAAGGTGTCCATATGCCGCCCAATTACTCCCTGTAACTTTGGTGAGACTCCAATTATGACAACAAAACCGTGTCAACGATAGCCAAACCATCCCCACAGTGCTGCTCCAAATGTGCACTTCAAACCCAGATGACTTCTTACTCAAACAGACTGCGGCTCAATGAGCATTAATAAACAGTTAAGAGAAATTAAATTAAAAAAACGAATAAAAACAAAAAACAAAAACAAAACAAACGTCCTCCACATTTCTGGTGAGATTTCTAAAAATCTAGTTTCATACTTAATACTTTTTGGTGCCATAATTTCTCAGCTATTTATACATTTTGTACAATCATTTTATGTTGAGCCACTGTTTTAACTTGCAAGTGAAAAATATTTGACACGTTGGGAATGTACATAGACAATTGTGCTGGCTACAGTCTCTTCTGGTCATCGACGAAACTACGATTAGCACAGTATATCCTCGGAAATGCACAATATTTATTTTCATCTGAACTAAAATGCAAATCATTGCCTTCCCTTTATAAATATTTCCTAATTTACACAGGCCTATCCTCGCCAAGTTTGGGCCTAATAATAGGTTAATAATAATAATAAAGGTTTTTTTTTTTTTTTTTTTTAGCACCGTATCAAACTAG